CAGCAGGAGGAGGGGGAGGAGGAGGTGCAGGAGGAGGAGGAGGAGGAGGAGGAGGAGGACGACGACGAGGAGGTTGTTGGGGACGGGCCTGAAGCCAGCACGTTACCGACAATCGGCCAAAGTCGGAGGCCTCCGAGTCTGACTCGACGCCGCTGCGCGAGGCTCGGAGGGAGGCGGCCCCTAGGTCCTTGACCCTGGGTAGATCCGACTCGACGAAGCCGAAAAAATCCAAAACCTGCTCCCGCGGGGCGCAGCCCCCTGCGAAGCAGCCCGCTGTGGGCCCTGAGACATTCTGGGGGGAATTGCCATCCTCTTGCAACGACTGAGCCAAGACTCCGCGCTCGACGAGGCTCAGGCCCTCGTGGGCCCCCAAAGATAAATGCTTCAAGTCCTTCTGATAAGACGGGAACTTGCCCGGTCGAATCCTTCTCAGCTGGTCTGAAATTCCGCCCGTGTCTGACTTGGGCCTGCACGGCCCTCTTGCTCCAGCATTGGGAGTCCCCTAGAAAAACGATCCACACCTACAGCAAAACTGGATCCTACTCCTGGGGGTCCCTGGGGGCTCGAAAACAGGGCAGGCCAAGAACGCATGACCTCTCGCCCTTAAAACATGCCGAGGGAAAGGCCGCCACTCCTCCCCAAGTCGCACGAACCTCCACCCTTCTTTTTGATCGTCGGCCAAGGCCTGGCCTTCAGCTGCTTCCTCGAGCGAGGGCTGCTGCCGAAGGCCATCGCTGCCTGCCGAGCGCTGAACTAAACCTGTCGCGTCGCGGGGCCCTCCCGACATTGTGACCTCGACGCTTCCCGCCTACCTGCACGCTTGGCGGGCGAGGCATCGCAAGCCCCTATGCACGTTAGCGTCGTCATCACTGACCCCGTGATGATCTGTCCCTAGCTTAGCAAACTCGTCTGCATGCCCGTTGGCCCGACGCTCCCATTCTGAGTTTCTGCCAGCCTCGATGTCGGCGGCAGTCGCATGGCCTGACGTCTTGTGGCGCTCGAGATCGCCGGGAGCAAACGCGCTCCACATGGGGCCCCAAAGGTGGGCGCGCGGGGCCCCGGGATCCTCAGAGAACCCAGGCCCACGGACCAGCGAGCCCAAAATGCTCTGGCAATCGATGTAGCGCTGAAGCGGGGGAAGACCTACTTGCGCCAGCACATGCACGGCATAGCCCCCCCCCCGTCTTTACTCGTCTGCTGCAGGGCCATACCCATTGGAACAAGTCCGTGCGCTGCCGAAACCACTTCCCGAATCTGTCAACCGACGCGATACTCCAACCGGCTCGGGTGACCCCGTCGAGGCCCATATATTTCGCAAACCCGTCCAGGAAGAGCAGCCCGGAGAGAAGGCCCGTCTCGGGCCGCTGGTGCCAATGAGCCGTCTGGGTGGGCTCCTCGACGTCGAAGAGGGACCTGGGGTGGGGAAATATGCACCTCGCGAACCTCTCCGCCGTCAGCGGGCCTAGCTCCGTCACTTTCTGCGCACAACCTCCCAGACGAGCGCCCGCAAGGTCTCGTCGCTGAACGGCGCGGGCTGGGCGCTCATACTAACGGTGCCATAAGGTGCCTGGTGCACCTCTGCACAACTGACAAAGCTCGCCATCATGCAGGTTGTGCGGGGATAAACGCGCGTGAGGCCAATGCACTCCCGTGGCCCGTCCTCGAAGGCACCTCTGGTGATGCTTGCCCCAGACCTCCGACTTCCCCCTGGACATCCTGGAGATCCCGCCCCAGAAGATGGGGTAGACGGGGGGGGGGGGGGGGGGGGGGGCAGGCCGTTCTGCAACTGGAATGCACGTCGATCCACAGCTCTCACCGCCCCCTGCCCGAGGAGGGCCCTGACCTGCATCGGGGACAGCCTGAACAGATCGCGCACCACATTCGAGTCATCTCCAGCCCAGCCCTCGGAGAGTAGGAAGAGCAACGTCGCTGGGCGTGGGCGCCGACCACCAATGCTGGGCCGAATTCTGGATCTTCTCAATCGAGGCCCGCATCGTGCTGGCCAGGATCTGAGAGTGAGGGGCCGCCTCCAAGACAGCAGTAGCCCACGTGAACATGACATGCCCCGAGTAGATCACAAGGGGGTCCACCTTGGAGCCCAGCCCGCACGTGCATTCTGAGCCCGACCGAAGCGCCTTTGGGGGGCCTGCAGAGGGAACTAGCTGCACCAACACGGAGACCAGCCATCTTCGAGGGATACACTCCTGACGCCGAAGAGCCCCAGGAGGCCGACGCCGCGGGCCCCATCCTGCGAAGCATCTTCAACCCCCTGGCCCGAGACAGTGCCGCCGAAGCCCTGGCATTCTGGATTCCGACCCTGCGAAGGCCTCCCAGAGACGCACTAGTGCCTAGGTCCCTCGTCGTGTCCGTCCTGCACGAAGTAGGGGGGAACCAGGCCTGGGACAGGAGCTCCCTCCTTCGAACGTAGGTAGGCGCACTTCTTAAACCCCACTGGCAGCTGCAGCTTCTCGAAACCCTTGAAAAGAGACTAAACTGCACCTGATAACTGAGCGGCGACCTGAACTCTGGGCCCACAGCTCTGAGCTGTAATGTCGTCAACCACGTTGCGCACATACAGTCAACTTCTGCTCTCCCGAGCTTCCAACAGGGGGCCCAGCAGCAGCATCTTGGCAAAAGTGATGGCCCCCGGGCAGCCTGCGACGATCGCACCGTTCGGCTCGACGACGCCAGAAGC